AAGCATTGCTGAGTTGTTACCAAAAGTACCAATGGATTATTTCAGTGAGAAGTGTTCTGCTCCATGAAACCAAGCCATGTGCCCACACACCATGCCTTTCTGCCATCAGTGCTTTGTCATTCTTGCCCTATCAGTTGTTTCTCTGCTAAAAGACTGAGAGCAATACGTTTCTTGTTTAAACAGTTTGGGATGAGTGGGAAAGTGCTACTCCTGAGCTACTTCAAGGCTGAGTTGCAAATTAAATTAATTTGGTGTTACTTTTAAAGATGAACATGATTTAAACAAGAGATTTTGAAAATTTGAAGCTTCTAGAAATAGAAATAAATTAACACTTAGAAAACTTGAGTCTCATACTTGATGGTGGTAGAAATGTGTAATTAAGAGAAAGATACGTAATATGCCAGAGGTAAAAGCTGCTGTCCTGAAGGATTGCTTAGAACACAGAATTTTTTCCATGCAACCTTTTTACTTGCTTGTGATTAATTTTGCCAAATGAAGACTTACTGAAGCTACTCCATTTGCTCATGAACAACATGTTTATTGTTACAGGATGTTGCGGTTCTATTGGCCGTTATTCCTTGCATTGCTCATTACTGGAAAAAGAAAATAATTTAAAAAAAAAAAAGAAAGATTTCAGAATTCACCAGAGTTTTGTATTTCCAGGCTTTCCGTGTGGATCTTGACTCTATATTCTGTTAAGTTTGGTTAATTTCTGGAGGGTTGCTCTCCTATTTTGACAATTTATCAAACTGTCAATAAAGCAATGAAAATCCTCCACTGACTGTCAGTATTACTTACTGAATGTTGTGGCATAGAACGCATCACATCCTCAAGAGCTTGTCCAGCATCTTTTCATCTTTCAAGATACAGTTTGTTCATTTGCTTATATGGAGAAGTGCTACTATGGAACAATTTGATGTACTTTTATACTTGTTTCTAAAATACAATTTGGCAGATGAAAACACTTTGGCAGGCAGCCTATGCATGTTAGTTTTCCAGGAATTATTAGTGCTCTGAGGATCACAGCATACTGCACATCCTACTAATGAAGGATTTGGAAGGTGTTTTGAAGGCATGGCCAAAGTATTAGGTCTTTTTTTTTAAAAAAAAAAAAGAAACAGGCACTTGCAGCTAGCTTATTAATTGAAAAGATGCTTGGGCTTCCCCCAAACTCCCACTGCAGGCATTGTCTCTGCTGGAAAGGATTGTCTATGGAAGAGAGATGTAAGGTTTGTGCGCATACTGAGCAGTATGCGCTAAGAGCAACGACTTGGAAGGACTAGATATATAATCCTTACAGTATCTTGATGTTCCACAGAGTGTGGCTCAGGTACCTTGGATCTCTTACTGCTTTTTGTTTGTTTGTTTGTGTTTGTTTTTCTGGACGTTTGCTTTTCTGAAGTTTTCAGAATTTTGCTTTCTGCTTTTGTTGCCTGTGTAACCTACATGCTCTGAACATGACTTTGAATCTCATTTTCTTTCTTTTATATGATATGATATCATTTTTCTAATAACTGTAATATATCATATTAAAAGGAACCATTTAATTTTCTGTAACGAAAGCTGTGAATCATAACATTTTGCTCATAGCTTAAAGATAACATTCTACGTTATTTCCACAGTTAATGTGAAATGAACATTATGAATAATTAATAAATTCGTGTTTTTATTCGGTAAAATGGAATTTAAGATGACAAAGCAGTGCAAGGCATACTTATTCTTTTAAGGAAAATATTTTTCTGTGGCATTTATATCTTAAAAGTCAGCAAATGTGTATTATGAAGCTTTGTGCATTTCCATACAGTTTAGCCATTTCTCTCACGAGACACTAAATAAAGTGAAAGAGTATACTGTCATTATAATAGAGTCCATTTCTTTCTGAATCGAGTCAGTGTAGTTAGTTGTTTACAGTATAATATTACATCTCTTAGCTCTTCGAGAAAGAAAAATGCATTACATGATTACTTTGTAAGTTGCTTTCCCTGATTTATCTTGATTATGTGAGGTGCATGGGTACATAGAATTACTGAGGTGATCAGTTGTTTTCTATTCCCGGGTATCAGCAGTGTTTTCAAATACTATACAGCAAGACAGAAAGAAAAGTTTACGGGCCAGTAATTGCATTTGGAAATACAGAAAGAAAATAAAATCTAAAATCACCAAACACACGATTCTCTTACTCTTATGGAAAATTTCTCTGCAGAGAAGGACTTTGGGGTCCTGGTGGACAACAGATTGACCATGAAATAGCCATGTGCTCTTGTGTCCAGGAAGGCCAGTGGTATCCTGGGGTATATTAAATTGAATACCACCAGCAGATCAGGAGAAGCTGTTCTCCCTCTACTCTGCCCCAGTGAGGCCACATTTGGAGTCATGTGTCCAGTTCTGGGCTTCTCAATTCAAGAAAGACAGGGAACGTGTAGACAGTGTCCAGCAGAGAGCTACAAAGATGATTAGGGGTCTGGAGCATCCATTTCCCTTGTGAAGGAAGGCAGAGAGACCTGGGACTGTTCTGCATGGAGAAGACTGATAAGGAATTCTTATAAATGTTTACAAATTCCTAGCAGTTAGGGCTAGGCTCTTTTCAGTGGTGCCCAGGGATACATTAAGGAGCCGTGAGTGAAAACTGAAATGTAGGAAGTTCCAATTGAACATAGGGAAGAGCTTCTTTACTATGAGAGTGTCACTGTGAGAGTGATGGAGCACTGGCACAGGCTGCGCAGAGAAGTTGTGTATTCTCCTTCTCTGGAGATATTCAAAACCAACCAGTGCACTTTCCTGTGCAACCTATTGAAGGGAGCCTGCTTTAGCAAGGGTTTGGACTGGAGGATCTCCAGAGGTCCCTTCCAACACCTGCGATTCTGTGACTCTGGATTATTAAGTTGTGAAAATTAAATTAAAGTTTATTATTTTGTTTCTTCTTCCAAAATAATTCTAGCACCATTTTTTGGGGAGGGTTTTTTTTTTTTTTGTCCAAAGAGCTGTTTGCATTGTGTTGATGCTGAGTACTTTTCTCCCATAAGCTGTTTTCCACAGAGACTGTCCTTGAACAAACCAGAAAATGAATTTGATTTCTCTAATGCAGAAGGTAATTGGATTTCTCTTTATGGAATGCATCCCTTTAATGACTGTCTCTGCTTCAACCAATTTAGCTGCAACTGACCTGACATTGATCTGGTGATACGACTTTAAATAAATGCCAAAGCTGGGAGATAAGAGACCAACTGTCTGATATCAGAAAGAACATTTCCTGCCTCATCTTGCCATTTTTCTCAGAAAATGTCTCCTTCTTGAATGTCATTCTCATGAAATGTGCCACAAATAATTGGTCGTAGAGGAGCAGATTGCATTCTTCTAGCAAATATAATAAGTATTTCCCAGAAATCCTCTGAAGCAACTACTTTTGAAATTGAATAAAACCTCTCAAAATAACTTTGCAGGTATTTATTACTATGTAGATCCTTCCTAAGTGATTAAGTGGTACTAGTGTAGTGAATTAAACCTTTACAGAGTTCTTGTTCAACATTAAATATTTATCAGAATTTTTAGTTAACTTATGGAAGCGTTATAAGAAGCATTATATGATGTGGACCTGAGAAAAAAAATTACTTAGAGAAAACAATTAATAAAGGTGGTATTTCAGAGCATAATGCGTTCTTTTTTCAGGCTGATTTTAATGGAACTAGAATATCCTAGAATGTGTATTTCGACTTATTTAACATGTTATCCTTTGAATCCAGACCTCCAGGCTATTATGCTAAGTGCTTTTAACTGTAAATGGACTAGGAGCCAAAATTTAGAATTTGGTTCCTACGTGGTTTAGATTTAATCATGGCCTATGTGTTCCTTTAATGTTGTTAACATCTGTGAAAACAGTAGCTAACTCACTACATAGTAGATTAGATGCTAAAAACATTATACTAAAACAAATTCAAAGGAAAATAATAATAAAAAGTCTTGATTTCCAGATGAACTTATTTCCTTCTGAAATATAATTGTTATTTTCATTTTAATAAAAAAAAAAAAACAATTAGTAATTTTCTGCTGTACTGGTACCGATGACTGACAGCAAGAATTTGTTCTATTTGTCTTCACTAACATTTGCTCCCCCTATTTCCTTTTTCTGTTTAATTCTAACTCTTTATGGATAGGTGGATTTCCATTCTTCTGGAACTTTTGCACAGTTGATGCAAAAGTTGATGAGTTTATTGTATGTAACTTTCAGTTCTTTATAGCACAGTTATCTTGAAGTAAATAGATGTGAAAACAAAGCTTCCCAAAAGTGGAAGGGCCGGAGGGGCTATTAACCTCCCACAGTTAGCGGAAAATCATTTTTAATTCTTCTGTGTACTCTGCTGAAGTAGTGCATACATATGAGTCTCTGGACAGAGAAACAGATGGTCTTTTCAGAGAGGAATTATGAAAACGAGAATAAATATTTCATAATCTTAAATTCCATGCAAGTTTTAAGGGTTTTTCGTGTCTCTGTTCCCAAGTGTTCTTTTCTTTCTGAAAGCAGGAAGCAGGAGAAGATTATAAATGGCATATAGCGCTTAATTTGCAGGCTTGTACTCCCTGGTTACAACTCTGGCTTCAAGAGTGAAAACACTGCCAGTGTTGCTCTTGGGGAAGTGGGTCCCTGGCCCAGGCTGGACTGGAAAGCTGTACGTATGTGAGCTTATGTATGGCCATAGGCAAAAGTAACTTACATCCTGTAGGTTGCTGCAACTCCTAGGTTAGTTCTTTTCTCCTTATCTTTGGATATCCCACGGGCTTCCTTGTTTCTCAAGGAACTGCTCACACTTCTAGGGGCTGAATGTTTAGGACAGCACATCTCATGTTGACTGAAAGTGATACTGGAGATACTGTTTTTCTATTGCCTAATTACCAAAGTCATCAGAATTGAAACAGATTTGTTGTAGATGAAAAGAAGTGTTCTTTGAGTCCTTCTGAGTGTCTCTTTCATGACAGCAGTTTTCCTGTATGTTTTTTCTGTGTAGGTCACTGACATGATGCTTCAGGACAAACCCTACCCAGATTGGGGAAAGTCAGCCAGAGCTTTCTGGAAGAAAGGGAACGTTAGGATCATTTTATTCTGGTAGGAAAATAATAACATCAAATTATACTAAATGAAGCTTTTATAGAACACTCAAAAATGTGTCTTCTCATTCTCTGTGTCATGAAGTAATGTAATGGCAATTGAAGGCAAGAAAATAGAAATGAAAAACTTAACACTAGATCTAACAAAAAATTGATCATTACAAAAGCTGTATATAAGCAAACACTTCCTAAACTGATGTAAAAATATAATGTTAAAACTGATTTATGCTATTTCTTTTATTATGTACTTGGAACTGTTTATAATGGAGATGCAAATGTTTTGCTGCATGTGATAATACTTAGGTGTCCAATTGTCAATTCTTTTAATTAAGGTAAGTACATATGTAAATGTCCTTTTGTGACCTTTAAATTATTACGAGTAAATCTTTGAATTTGCTCTTGAATGGGATTGCAAATAGCAAATCAGCCACAGATTTTAAAGATGAGTATTTAATAATGAGTACAAAACTTGTAAGGAGAAAGCAAATGTTTGACTATAAGTGTAGTGTCTTCCAAGTAAATTCAGATCAAGTGGCTCTGCTGAAATAGAACATAAATTATGCCAGGAAAAAAATGGAAGATGGAAAATATATAGTCTAAGGGGCAAACAAGAGGTCCTCATGGTTAAAGATTAAATAAATTGAAGGGCTTTTTTCAGCTACATTAGCAGAAGAAAATCTGATGAAAACATCAGCAGACCTGCTGTTTTGTTTTTTTTTCTTAAGAGTAAAAGGAAAAGCTTCAAAGGAATTTTTACAAAGAAGTTGAAAAAATTATTTAACCGAATTCTGCTACAGAAAATTCAAAGAACTATCTATAATTTTAAAGTAGTAAAGGTGAGATACTGTTTTGAATTGGGGCAATTAAAGGAAACACATTGAGAAATTTGGAGGCTGAAGAAAACAGGAGATTCAGATGGCTGAGTGTCTGCAACCAAGTCTTACGGGGAGCTGATGCAAATTTCATTCTCTCTTAAATGCGTAATGAAAAAAAACAAAGACTAAAGATTGGTTTTTGTTTTGTTTGTGATGCTTATTTGAACAAACAAGAATTATCCTACTGCTAAGTAAATCTTAATTCAGTATTAGCTAAATGGAACGGATACATCAATAATAACAGAATTATGAGAAAAACTGATGATTAAATTCTGCTAAAAGAAACCAGTGCAGCTCTGCTGAAAGAAAACCTTCTCTGACCTGGTAGAAGTCTTTGACTGTGTCATCAAAATAATGGATTAGGAAAAAATGCTTGATCTAATTTGTCTGGACTTTTAAAAGGCTTCTGACAAGGTTCTTCACTGAAGGCAATTAAGAAAAATAGTAAGCCCTGTGGAGTCTGCTGAAATAATTAAGGAATCAGCTAAGAGATGTGTAGCAAAAGGCGTAAATAAAGTAATGCCTTTCTGCTGCTCTCATAAGAATGGGAAGAGCTATTCTTTAATGTTAGAAATAGTATTAGCGATTTGCGTACATCATGTGGTGATGTATACTTTAGTGACATGGCAGAATCTGAAGATGAGGCAAATAACTTGAACTGGTAAATGCATGGTGTGTAAGAAGGATCTTAGAAAGCTAGGTGGAAAGATACTGTGATTGAAAAGGTGGAGTTGTGCAGGAAAGCTCAAACAGCTCCCTGTCAATATGAGACATGCAGAGGAAAGTTTTGCACTGTACTGAGGTGGACAAAAAGATAAAGCAGATGAATTTTAAATGGCTCAGATATGTAACAAGTGGGCCAGCCATGATTGGTGTAATTTGCTTAAGTCAGTAAAAAGGTCAGTGTAGAACATCAAATTCTTTTCACTTTTGACTAAAGAATGGCCTTGTCTAAACAGCTGTAAAGGACATTAATGAAGAGTCAATTAAAAAAAAACCAAACAAACCTTAATTCCTTAATTACACAGAATAGAAGGATGGAAGAAGGTAACATGGTAAAGAGCTTTCTTTTCAAATTTATATGCCAGATACAGAGAATAATAAAATATTATTGAAAGCACATTTATGTTGTTCTGAAAGATGTTATGACTTCTTGCAGTCTGAAATGCTATAAACATGTATTTTTTTCAAATAATATTCACAGTAACAAAAACTATGAACAGTTTAAAATTGAGATAAAATAATAAGAAAAGATATTTCTTTTTGTGAGTGATTCTCATACTAAAGAGTATGCTTAATGGGGTTTTAGAAGCCTAAAGTGTGGTATAAATGCTTTTATTTTTAACTTTAAGCATTGAAGTAGAATCACCCTGTGCAGCAGTCTACGTGGAAACATTTAGATTGTGCATATTAGACATCAGTAAAAAATAGACTTCTTTTTCCTTATAAGTAAGAAAAATGAAGAATGAATTAAAGTATTGACAAAGTCATGCACAATAAGAGACACATTCCTATTTCATTTGTTATTGTTTAAGTAGGGTGATGTGAGCAGCCTCCTTTCTGAAATGTTCCAAGTGAACCAACATTGATAGTATGCGCTACACAGATACTGGTATACCAAAATTTGTTTATTCAGGATGTTTCTTACTGGCACACCTGTTTTGCAAAGCTAGTGTAATTCAGTACACTGTACATTAATTATTGCAAATAATAGATATGTGATGTCCAGTTTAAAGTGGTTGATGAAATGAAAATAGTGGATACCCACTGGACTTGTTCTTTTGGTAGCTTCATTTTTACTTCCAGGTTTTTCTCCATAAAATTAGAAAGTGTTTCTACACATACCAAAAACAGATGGACTGTCATGGGGATAGAGACATCATCCACTTGTTTTTAACAGTTGTAATGACTTTGTGTTCCTCATCTGTCACTAACATGCATCAGTCCAAGTTAGGGGCTGACCTGCTGGAAAGGAACTCTGCAGAGAAGGACCTTGGTGTCCTGGTGGACAGCAGATTGGCCATGAGCTAGCACTGTGCCCTTGTGGCCGTGAAGGCCAATGGTATCCTGGGGCATGTTACAAAGAGTGTGGCCAGCAGGTTGAGGGAGGTGATCCTTCCCCTCTGCTCTGCCCTGGTAAGGTCGCACCTGGAGTTCTGTATCCAGTTCTGGGCTCTCTAGTTCAAGAAACACAGGAAACTTCCAGAGAGTGTCCAGCAGAAGGCTACAAAGATGATTGGGACCTGGAGCATCTCCTGTATGAGAAGGACCTGGGACTGTTCAACCTGGAGAAAAGAAGACTGATGAAGGATCTTATCAATGCTTATAAATATCAAAAGGGCCAGAGTCAAGAGGATGAGGCCAGGCTCTTTTCAGTGGTACCCAGTAACAGAAGAAGGGGCAGTGGGTGAAAACTTGAAGTTCCATCTGAACATGAAGAAAAACTACTGTGGGAGTGATGGAGCACTAGAACAGGCTGCTCAAAGAGGCTGTATCATCTCCTTCTCTGGAGATGTTCAGAATCTTCTGGGACACTTTTCTGTATTATGTACTGTAGGCAACTTGCTTTCATAGGTGGATTGGACTCTGTGGTCTACAGAAGTCCTTTCCAGCCCCTACAATTCTGTGATTCTGTTATTTGGAAATATTCTCAGCTTTCCAAGGCAACTAATTAGTAAAGATTTTAATTTAGTTCATTCTCTACTGCTTCAAATCATTCCTTGGGAGCATTGTCAGCAACCACTGCTTAGCTGTTCATGAGGAGTCTGGCTGCCTTTTGAATGTCTTCAAAACATAATTCTTCCACAAACAATTGAACTAAGTAAAAAATATCTATTTGGTATTTGTACTTGTCCATCAATAAGTTGTTTATTGAAGTACTTCATCCTTTTTTTAAAAATAGCTTTTTGTTTTTAATTAAAAAAATCTCCATTTTGGTTATATACAGCTCCGCTGATGGCTAATTTCACTATGTAGAGGCACCTTTGTATAATGTTATTATGGTCTGTGTTACATTGTACGTGGCCTTCAGAATGCAGTGAAGTCTCAGCAATGGTGGTAAAACTAGGATGGTACAGGTAGGTCTGTAGACTGCAGAAGGAAGAGAGGAGTAGAATACTAAATATCTGCAGCATCTGACTGTCTGATCAAGCTGTGGTAGAGAGATTACTGTCTTCAGCGTTCTGCAAAGTTACAAGTGTGAATTGAAATAGCTTGATTTATAATTTTGGATGTGTTGATAATTTTTCTTATTTAGGAGAGACATATAATATATATTACATATATTATATATATATATTATATATACAAGGATTATCATTTTTAAAAAGCCGCAAGAAAAAAAGTGTTGTTAAATTCAGGCAAACAAAGATCTTGGACAAGACTAACTGTGAGAAAATAACAGTGGTTTCTGGGAAGTTAAATAAACAGCTTAGATCATTAGCTTTTTTTTTAGTGTATGGACATTTGATGAAGCAGAGACAGATGTACAATATAAACAGACTGGTTATTTTCTGAATAGTTTTCAATTTCTTTGGAATGCTGAATAAGAGAGACTAACAGTCTCTATTTATAAGGAAACCATTTGTTAAGACAGGAGAAAGATAACTGAATATATCATTAAGTGAACTGCAAAAGGAATAAAATAGTGTCAAGACAATCTAAGAATAATTACTTAAAACTGAGTTAGTTACAGGATCTCTCTTCTGCACAAAACAAGCTCTGATTCATTTAAGATTTCAGCAAGAAAGGCACGGACACTCAATGCTGTTTAACTGGTTTATTGAGCAAAAGTTGGAAATTATAGAAAAGGTGACAGGAATCTTTCTTATGTCCCTTCTGATGTCCAGGAACTCAGCTATTGCAGGATCTGCTCTCTACAGTGTCTTCTGTGGCAGCCCACCAAACCCTGTGAGGCCTCAACCATAGCAGTTATGATAACATCACCAGGACATCTCTGGGCAGTGCATACTTTACAGTTAATAGAGGAAAGACTCAAATACTCTCTCTTGACAAACTGTTCCAATATTAATTGCCCTCAAATTTTCTTATCAGAGGACAAGGAGATTATAGTGAGCAAGATGTAAAGAATTGTGCATATGAACATTTAACTGTAGGGAAAAAC